ACACACACACACACACACACACACACACACATATATAATTAAAATAACATTCCATTCCAATTCAATTCTATCATTAATATTAATATTCATTAAAGTCTTAACATCTTTAACATTACTTTTCAATTAAATATCATACTTCTTCTTCTTCTTTTTTTTTATAAATATAGTTTATTAATTTTTACAGTTAAAACCAGTCACAATACATACACAAATAAGCAAAAGAAAGAGAAAAAAAAAAGAAAGAAGAGAGAAGAGGAAGAGAGGGAAAGAATTTGGGAAAAGAAAGAAAGAGGTTACAGGATAAAAAGTATTCTTATTTTAACAGTTTGCAAGATCTTCTTTTGTTTTCATCACCTTAACTTGTGTCATATAACCACACCTGTTTTTAACTTATATCGCTACCTCGTTATTATGTATTGATACTTTTCTTTTATGCCTTATGATATATAATTTATCTTTGGTCAATCCAATTATACCAACAATTCCAGCTATCGTAGTATAGTGTAGTGTCTTTGTTTTTTAGCGCCAAAGTCAATTTATCCATTTCTGCGCATTTTGAGATTTTTTCAATAATCATTTCTTCTGATGGAATTTGATGTTGTTTCCAGTGTTGAGCGAAGGCTAATCTGGCCGCTGTTAAAATGTGTATTGTTATGTATTTGGTTTTTTTGGAAATTTGCTTATCAAAAATCCCTAGTAGGAAGGACTCTGGTTTGTATTCGATCTGCTCTTTGGTGATTTCTTCCAACCAAGTTTTAATTTTCTTCCAATACTTTTGGGTTTCTGCACAAGACCACCACATATGGAAAAAGGTTCCTTCTTTTTTCCTACACTTCCAGCAATGTGGACTCATGTTGGGGTGCATCTTCGCTAACCTCGAAGGGGGGAGATGCCATCTATAAAACATTTTATAAAGATTTTCCTTGTATGCTGCCGATTTGGTAATCTTATTGTTTCTGCCCCAAACTTTCTCCCATTCCGCTAATGTGATGCTGCGCCCTACGTTCTTACTCCAAGCAATCATATTTCCTTTTACAATTTCTTCTTCTAGTTCTGTTTCTAATAAGTAGTTATAAAATTTTGTTATGTTTTTTTTATTTGATCCTAATAAAATTTTATCTAACTGTTGCAGTTTGTTATTAATTCCGAATTCTTTTTTGTCTTGTTTATATCTGCTTTGAATCTGAAGGTAAACCCATTGATCAATTTTATGTCCTTGCTCCTGAAGATCCAGCCTCGGTTTCAAATTTCCTTGTGGGTCTAATAAGTCTTTGTATTTAATCATTTTGGTAAGCTCCAAATTGTTTGGGTGAATCATTGCCTCCATTGTTGAAATCCATACTGGTACTTTTGTATAATGTTTTTTCCTTATTTTCCTCCAAATTGTTAATAGTGCGTCTCTAATTAAATGTCTATGGAAATATTTTTGACTGGTTTTCCCTACGTCCCATAGAAAAGCGTGCCACCCCCTTTGTAAATCATGGCCTTCTAGAAATAGTATTCTTTTATTGGTTAAATTCACCCAATCCTTCAACCAAACTAATGAGGTGGCCATATGGTATAACTCCCAGTTTGGAAATGCTAACCCTCCCCTGCTCTTCATATCCTGCATTGCTTTTACATTTATTCTGGGTTTTTTCCCTTGCCAAATAAATTTCAGGGTTGTTCTATTGAGTTCTTCAAAAAACTTTTTATGTAATTTAATTGGGATCGTTTGGAATAGGTACAAGAATTTAGGGAGAACGTTCATTTTAATAGTAGCAATTCGGCCTAGTAGTGAAATTTGAAGTTTCAAATTTCACTAAATATCATACTTCTATGGGAACAGTTATAAGTTTTCCATAGTTAATCCCCCCCTTCACTTATATTTTATAAAACATTAATTAATTAAAATGTTCCCGTTCCTTCCTAATTCAATTTTCTCATTTATTTTATTTCACTTATTTTATTCACAAACATTTCACTAAGTTACACTATTTTATCCCTCATTTTAATCATACATTGTTTCCAATTTTCTAAAGTTATTTCTATTACTGATATAACAATACAATCTTATGTACCTTTATAGAATCCCTTTTTCAGTTAGATTTTCACCCATTATCTCTAAATAGGTCCTGCTTCTCTATATCTTGCTTCGGTCCTTTGTAACTTCTTTTCCTTCCCTTGTTTCCTCTCTTCTTCTCTCTCCCCTTTTTACCCCCTTGTCTATCTCCATTTCTCTCTTCTGTATTCCCCTTTTCTATTGCTTTCCAGTATTATACTTATTTTTCAAATTATTTTTCAAGAGTCCAAAAATCATCAAAGAATCCAAATACATGCAAGCTGTTTCTTTTTTGCTCTTTTTTTTTTCACTTTCTCTTCCTGGGGTTACTATTTAGTTACAAAGTTTCAGTTAAAATGTATCTTTTAGAAGTCTTGTTTTAGTTTTACTGTAGATTCTTTTTAATTCCAGGCAGTCTCCTCCCTCTTCCAGATCCTGCCCTTATTCTTTTTCTCTCCCTTCCTGCTTATAAAAAAGAAAAATTTTAATGTCCAGAAATCTTTATTATCCCTTTGGCATTTTGTTTTATCTTCAGCTTAATTGCCTATTGATGTCAAAGCGGATTTTTCCGATTTCTTATTTAAGTCTCTTAGTTGTCAGTATAGGGAAGGAGAGAGAAGAAAAAAAAGCCAAACCTTTCCCTTTTCACTTTCCTTCGCTGCTTCCGACTCTTCTTTGGGAGCGATGTTATTTTTTGTAAATTTAAATTCCAGGGTACCTTGGTTGTTGCTTTTACAATTTAACCCGGTCAGCCAAAACTTTCACTCTTATCTTACTCCTGCACATTCTTTTCCGGTCAAGTTCTCCTTTGT